CCAAGGTGCAACTTCAAAGCACTGTTTATGCAGCTATTTTTAGAGCACTAGCAGAAGTCTCACTAGCCTGTCTGTTGACCCCAGCTGGTAGGCTAGCTCCCACTCAGTAAAATGTGCTGCGTAGACATACCATCTTGTGCTAGAAGGAGTTAATATTGCAGATCTGACTGCACCCAGAAACAGTGCTGACTTTTGTGCCACTTCTGTTATCCTTATCATACTAATTCCCTCTGTTGAAACCACTTTCCTTTTTGTGCTCCTGGCTCCTACCTGCACCATAACATGGCATCACACTCAGTGGTTTTCTTGGGGTTACCACTTTTAGAAATATAAATTCAAGACAAGAAACTAATTATTAGTTTCACATACATAAGCATATTGAACACAAAATGTACATATAAAATATATTTTGCTTCCATCTAAAGTTGTCATCCTTTTGCAAGCTGCAACTCACATAAATTCATTTACACCAGCGGCTCTCAAACTTTTTTACTGGTGACCCCTTTCACATAGCAAGCCTCTGAGTGCGACCCCTCCTTATAAATTAAAAACACTTTTTTTTATATTTAACGCCATTTTAAAGGCTGGAGGCAAAGCAGGGTTTGGGATGGAGGTTGACAGCTTGCAACCCCCCCATGTAATAACCTCGGGACCCCCTGAAGGGTCCCGACCCCCAGTTTGAGAACCCCTGATTTACACTGTGTGCCAAGGATTGAATTACTGCACAGTGTTTACCCCTTTGATGCTATCTTAATTTTGCTGCTCTGGGCTAAACGTTAACCAAGTTGAAGGATTGTTCCAGAGCAGCAGAGGCCAAAGAAAACAAGTGTACATATCCAGCCCTGATAAAGTAAAGCCTGTGTAATGCTGGCAGACCAGGTGCCAGCTCATGTCAAGGCCCCTAGGCCTCAGCTGAACACTGAAAATACATAACTGGAACCAGTATGGCATACTTCTGTGTTAGTATTGTTAAAATAAGTATTAGAGTTACACAAATGTGCTTAGTGTTTAGACTTTATGGAATACTTGTAAATTGCTGCATGTATTTATCTCACTTATATCATCTGAATCCGATGTTATAAGGTAATAATGTTTGTTCCATGACTGTTGCTCCATAACAGCAAATCACCAGTTAGAAGGGAAGCATTATCAAGTATGAAATACTAGTTTGCCAAAGGAGGCATTATCTCTTATTCAACAAAAAAAGACCCATCAACGGCAGATGAACCATTGTGGAACATGAGGACAAAAGACTTTGCTGATTGTTTCCCCCACCCCTGCCTCATTTCCCCCACCACCCAATGAAGAGGTAAGGACGGGTCAACTGAATTCCTCCCAGTAACTGAGCTTGCAATGTGAAGCAGAAGAAGGGAAGGAATAAAAGGCCCTAACAAGCAGCAACTATCTTGTATGCTCCTTGAACTCTGGGGAGCCAGGATTACTAAGCATAAGCAAAAGATCCCCAATGCTGGGCCTGGAATAGCCCTAAAGGACATATAGAGTTTGCTTATTAGAGAAGCATCTATTACTTTTTGTGTTTATACATGTTTACCGTCTTTAACCTTGTAAATAAATTCTCTTATTTTCTTTTCCTAGTTTAATAAAGCTTTAGATAGCCAATCCTATAATAAACTACAAGCACTGTTTTTGGTGCGAGATCTCAGGTGCAGTTGACATGGGGTAAGTAACTGGTCCTTTGGGACTGGGAGTAACCTGAATATTTTTGTGATTTTTGGTGTAAGAGACCATCTATCACAAAGACAAACTTACCTGGGTGGCAAAATAGATCAGAGTACCCAAGGGGAAACTATCCATGACTCCATGTTAAGGCTGTTATAGTACTTAAAGAGTTTACACTTGATAATTTGTTGGTGAAGTCTAAGTATAGAACTCACAACCCATTTGGGGTCTGTGTCCTGTTGCTTAAGTCTGCCCTGAGGTTGGAATCCATGCTCTTGAGCTACTGCAGAACAGCTTGATAGCCTAGATGGCTTTAAAACACAGATCCTCAAAGATATTTAGGCTCCTAACTTCCAATAAAATCAATGTTGTTTGCAGTATTGTTGTAGCCTTGTTGGTCCCAGGATACTAGAACAACAAGGTGGGTGAGATAATATATTTTACTGGACCAACTTCTGGTCCAATTACCTCACGCACCTTGTCTCTCTGTGGGAAGACAGAGGGATCAATCTTGACCCCACTGTATGTGATAAATGGCAAAATTCTCACTGACTTTAATAGCAGACGGACCGAAAAAAGAAGTGCAAAAAATAGCAATAGTAAGGTTTCCACTCAAGTGAAAGAAAACCTATAAGGGATTTTAAAGTTGAGTATCAAGTATCAGAGGGGTAGCCGTGTTGCTCTGGATCTGTAAAAGCAGCAAAGAGTCCTGTGGCACCTTATAGACTAGCAGATGTATAGGAGCATGAGCTTTCATGGGTGAATACCCACTTCTTCGGATGCATGTAGTTGGGTATGTTCCTCCTTTTAAATAAAAATAAAAATAAAAAAAAATAAAACTCAAAGGCAAGACTGATCTTTCCTAGTTTTCTTGCTGTTGTCAAAGGAGATGTATATTATGAGCAATCAGATCTTAATTGAAAGCATATTGATATTGAATCCTTTTCCCCCATGAGTTACTTCAGAATACGAGTTAAATAGGTATTTAAAATTTTGCTTCATATTTGCTTTAACAATCTGACTCAAAGTTCCTTTCTCTTTTCACAGCTCTGATCCTTGTCTCGATATGTCAATGTCAGTAGCACTCCACTAGCCAAAATCTGCCAGGATAAACAAGACTTGAATTTCTCTTGTTTAAAAAAAAAAAGCAAAATGGGGGGGAATTAACAGAAACCTTTCAATCATTCTTTTTTCCATTAAGAAAAGCAAAGCAATAATAGCTGAAACTCACTTTACCCTTTACAGCTCTCCTTTAAAGCTATTCTAGTTTGTAAGTTTAACTACGTATTTCTTACCTTGTAATTTGTGATAACAGTAGTTTCATTTAAGATATTAAATTCTATCACCTGTCCTGTATCTAAACTGCTGCAGAAGCAATTTTTTTTAAATCTTATTTTCAGAATTTCTCAAGTGCCTGCTACCTTACTCACCCTGACCCTTGGCTGAGTTACTCTAGTATCTTTGATGCTATACCACAGAGCAGCGATTCTCAATTGTTTTCTCCTTAATGCAAAGGATGTGGTTACTTGGTTGGGTTTCCCTAGGCTGCTTTGTGGCTGAACCAATAATTTCCTCTTCGCGGCTGTGGAGAGGGATTTGCCTCTCCCACCTGAGCACGCCTGAAGCATAGCACAGAGCTTTCACCACAGACACGTTTATATCAAGGACCCCCAGGGAAAAAGGGAGCAGGCAGAGGGGCGACCCGGTGCTGCTCTTGTTGCCACTAGAAATCCCAGAATTAAGTCCCACCAGAGCCCACAAGCAGCAGGCAGTGGTGGCACAGCTCGCGGGGCTGACCTGCCAGGTGCGTCCCAGCTGCACTAGCAGGGGCTGAGCGGCAAGACCTGGGCTCGGGTGGAGAGACTCTGCATCATAGGCGTGCGCACGGAGTGGGCCCGGGCACACCCTAATGCCCATGGGCCAGATCCGGATCTGGCCCCTCAGGGCTTTGGATCCGGTCCGCGGGATTTGCCCCCCATGGTGCTGCAGGCCCCGCGCTGCTTTCAGAAGCAGCCAACAGGGCACCATGTCTCTGGGGCCAGGGGGTTGCTCCAGGCACCACCTCCTGAAGCTCCCGTTGGCCAGGAACGGAGAACCGCAGCCAATGGGAGCTTCAGGGGAGGTACCTGGAGGTGTGGCAAGGGCAGGGTGCAGACCCCTGTGCTGCACCGCCTCTCCCCTCCCCCGGGGCTGCACGGGGACGGGGTGAGCGGCGCGGCATGGGGCACTGGCAGGCAGGGAGTGTGCCTGCGGGTAAGCGGCCCCAGGCCGGCCCGGAGCCCGAACCCCTCCTAACCCCCCCCCACCGCCCTGAGCCCCCGCCCTGAGCCCTGTTGAGCTGGGCTCCCCTTCCCCAGGGCCGGGCTGGCTGCTTTAACAGCCCCATGTGCTCCCTGGCAGCCTCAACACAGCCGCTTAAGGTGGCCCGCGGGTTGGTGACCTTAAGGCTGCCACAACCCCCTGCCCCCCAGGCAGCTGCTCCCCCTCAAGCGCCCAAGGCCCCCCGCGCTGGCCGGGGGACAGGCACCACCCGGGGGGGGGGTCAGGCCGCCCCTGAGCCCAGCCCACCTTAAGTGGGGCCCGGGAGCGAGCCCGGCCCACAGGCCCTCCTGCAGCCCGGCTGCGAACTCAGCTCGCCGGCCCTGTTCGGGGGCTCCGCCTGACACCCTCCAGCCCTGGGAGCAGCCCAGCCCCTCTGCAATCCACCCCAGCCCCGCTGCAATCCGCGCTGACTGCCTCTGCCCAGCCTGGCCCCAAGCGCCCAGCCCGGCCCCCTCTGCCCGCCTGCAGGGACGGGGGAGCCCAAATCCCCAGCCCCGGGGCCTGCCTGCAACCAGTCTACCCTCCTGCACCCCAACTCCCTATCCTGAGTCCCCTGCCTGCACCTCTCACCCCAACTCCCTGCCCTGAGCCCCCTTCCTGCCCCCCAACTCCCTGCCCTGA